TACAACTGCTATCCTTTCATCACCTCACACAACTCTAGTCCTTTCAAAAGTGAACTTCACTGGTCACATCTATAGGAAACTTGTCATAGATCAGACCTAACTTAACAATCACTGACTGGAAAAATCCCTTTCGAAATTGGAAACTAGTGGAGGACAGATGTTGGTACTAAATACAAAATTGTTGCGTAGTTTGGTTCTACTAAAAATTGGGAACTGTTCAAAGCTTCAACAACTTGAGCTTTTGATAACCATTTATCTAGAAAGATCCTACACAAGCAAGACAATTGAAGTTTTGGGATCTCCTGGCATGGTGCAAACTTGGGAGACGATCCTAACGTAGATATCAATGTACAAGCAACTAGCTTTTCATGTTCTTGCAGATCTCAAAGTGCTTTTGGTTTATGCAACCAATCTCACAGGCGAGATATCAATAGAGATTGGCAATTACTTAGGCTTAGAGAACCTATTTGTCTACTAACAGAAATTGGTTTATGCAACCCAATGAAGTGGGTTTGTCAAAAAATCTCAATAATGTGTTGTGCTGGCGAGACAATCTAAGCAGGAGCATTCCAAAATCTCTTTTTAACTGCTCTAGTTTGATGATTTTTGATGTGTCAGTGAATTATTTAAATGGTGAGCTTACATTGTCTATTACGATATTTAATGGCATCGAGGAGCTTTGTTGTCTAGCAACAACATTTTTGGAGAAGATCTTACCTTCCCTAGACAGCTTTTATAGCCTAAAGCAACTTTTTGTTTAGAATAAAAAATATGTATATTTACAAAATACCAAGTGGTGCAACCCGTATACATTGAAATTAGACAAAACAACCCGTGTACCCATGTACATAGTCTAAAACAACTTGAATTGGGAAAAAATAATTTTGGAGGTGAGGTTCGTATAACCATTGACCAACTAAAGCAACTTACTTTGCCTGGCTGATGTTGGATAAATAAGATTGATTTGTCTAATTAGGGATTTTGGAATAAAAAATCTAGACATCACATCTAGAGTTTCTTAGACATCAAATCTAGGAAGTTTTAAGCATCACACTTAAGGGTCTTGATTGCATCACATAACCGGAAATTTGAGAAACTCTCAAAAAATTATTAAATAATTTGAATGTTTTAATAAGTGAGATTACAAGTTATTTATAATAATCTGTAAGCAACTTTTCCTAAATATAATTATAATAAGAAATTATAAACTAATAGAATTAAGAATACTAATCCTAACAGGAATAAGAAATTTTTTAAAAAAAATAATAGAAATAAAATCTAATACTAATAATATTAGAAATACTAATTCTTAGAAAAGTACTAATAAGAATAAAAATTCTAAATTACCCCACCTCTTTTGATACCATTCTAATTTATTTAAACTTTTTATTTCGAAAAAAAGAATAAAAATTCTAAATTAGTAAAACTATAATAATACTTCTCAATAATATAGACTTTTAAATAATATAGTAGTTTTACATTTATATTATTATAATTCTTAAACTATTTGGGAAATTTGATGCTAATTCATTCAGCATCACTAGCAGAATTTGCTGCATGGTGGTGGTATCACACCAGATGAGTTGGTCAATTGCTAGCATGTTAAAGCATTGGATCTTTTACATAATTGCTTACTAGGCTAGTTCCAAATTCTCTCTTCAATACACAAAACTCAACCCAAAGGTTATTACATCAAATGGAATTTCGTGAGAAATTCTTCCTGATATTGGGAGCTTCACCAGCTTAATACATTTAAGATTGAGATTAAACAACTTCTGTGTCCATATTTCATTTGAAATTGAAATCCTGCGCAATTTGAGCTTTTTAGAATTATTAGAAAATCAATTCACTTGAAAGATTTTTCAGAAGATTAGCAATTGCGCTTAGCTAGAGATGATAGATTTGTATGAAAATAGGCTTCTTTCATCTCTTGATTTTCTTGTATCTTATTATTTAGAACTGTAACAACAAAATTTGTATTCCAAGAACAAACAGAAAAAAATCTATTATAAATAATTAATTGTGGAACAGCACAAGTCGGGCATATTTGATGCTAAACTAATTAAAACAATTGATGATTAACAATTAGAGTCAGAACATTACTCATGTAGCTTTGCTTTAATACGTGTTTGCTTTATAACCGGGTTAAATAAGAAATTTGACTCTTTTTTTTTAAAAAAAAATG